AAGCTTTGTAGTATGGCACATTATAGACAAAACAGCCATTTGGCAATAGATCTCTTTCATAAGTGATCTTTTAGAAGCTTTATCCCTAAAGGATTGACACGCTATTGAAAATCTATGCATTTACCTTTTAAAAATGGCAATAAGAACCAGCAAGTAACTAACATGTTTTAATTGTAATGATATGAATTTAAACTTTTTTTTGTTGTTTTAATGCTTATAGTAGAATAACACTGGGGGGCAATACTGTAAGTTCTGTAGGAGAAATCTTCAGAAAGCCTGGCATGACAAATGCAGACTGGTGAATTTGTTTAAAAAATTCTAGTTCACATTATTAAAGTTTAGACTCTGTTACCATAATGAGGACAAAGGCACAGAGTTGGGACAACAGACGGGCCCATTTTGGCAAGTGCAATGCAAACATCCAATTGAAGAACTTCAGGGCCAGCCACACATTCTGCTCTTAGAACTCTGCAAACTCATCTTTCTCTCACTTTTTCTTTCTGTCGTCTGTTTGTACTATTGTTTCTGCTACTCCTTGTGATAGACTCAATAGGTTTGTGTGCCCCTTAAATGCAGACTGAAATCTTAAGTCCCACTATGATGATAGTTAAAGGATAGGCTTTTGGGAGATGATTAGATCATGAGAGTGGAGCCCTTGTGAATGGGATTAGTGCCCTTATTAAGGGACCTAACCTCTTGTCCTTATCCACCTTGTGCAGCAATATTGAGAAGACAGCAGCCTGCAACCAGGAAGACAGCCATCACCAGAACTCATCCTGCTGGCACCCTGATCTCAGACTTTGGCCTCCAGAGTGTGAGAAATAAATTTTAAAAGACAAATTTATGGTACTTCATATAGAATTCTGAAGGGACACACCTAGTTCCATGGTCAAGGTGGGCCCTAGAAACAAAACAAAGCTAAAACAAGTAAACAAGATTTGAAAAGACGTATTGAGTGTTGATTCTGAGGCACATGCTGAGAGCAAGAATAGCAACTTATTTGACTCACAACTATATGATATAGGATTGCCACTTAAAAGAAGGAGAAACTGAGGCAGCAAAAAGGAATATAATCCACTCAGGGCCATAGATCTCTCATGACAGGGCACAGTTGAGTTCTGGATCGGTAGAATACTCAGACTGTACAATTCTAGGCATACTACGTCAGTGAGCAATGTACATAGCGGCCTTCTTAGCTAGCCACAAACTTAACTGTTAGGCTACACTGTCCCTCCAAGTTTTAAACAAAATTTCTAAGAAGACAGTTTGAACAGTGTTCTCACTGACCATCCCCCCGCCCTCTTTTTTTCCCCTAACAATTCTCATTTCCAGGACTTCTTCAGAAGGATAACCAGATTGTAACAGCAGGCAGTTGAGCCTGGAGGGAAGGAACGTACACACACCATCTTTAATGGGTATCTCCAGTCTCGTAGTTTCAAGTATTAAAGTCTCAGGCACCATTATCATTATTGTTATTATTAGTTTTCAGGCTTGAAGCACTTGCTTTTTCAGAATTTCTCAGAAAATAGCACTTTTCCCTGCTATTACCTTCATCCCTGACAGCCCATCCTGGGTTCGCACCTTGGTTTGCAAAGCTTGGGAAACATATGTGACTTCCATTCACTAGCCAGGCAATTTCCTATTGTGTTCTGTGACAGTTCAGCTGCTCTAAGCAGTTAATGACTGTTAATTAGTTTCCCTTTCTAAATAAGCTACTTTTGTAGGTCTGAGGTCACAAGCTAGGAGGTATGAATGAAGCCTTATTAACCTTAGTTGCCCCATTCCAGTGGCTCAGAGTTCCCTGTCCAGAGCTTTGGTATTTTATATAAAAATTTCACAGACCTCCCATCCTATGGGGACTCATATACGTTAACTCTAATTCTGTGACCTCTGAGTAAAACCACTCTTATGAATTAGTCTGGGCACTATCAAGGTGGCTTGGCAGGTGTCCTGACCACTGAGCACCCAACCATCTCCTGTTAGACACAAAAGTCTCCACTGGTACCCTAAACTTTTTTTCTGTGAAGATGCTGTCCCAGCTGTGAGTTAACTTATATGCAACCTTAAGATAAAAAAAAATTCAGAGTTGATTTAATACTACGTCTACTTAACAGACTAATAATAACAGTATTTTCTCTAGGATCTATGACCTATCTAGCCACAGGTTCTTGGCCCTGATAATGGTGTCAGACATGGGCTCCATTTTGTGGAGTGACTCCTTATGCTTATTGTTATACCCATAAGATTAGGGTATCTCTCAACTCTCATCAGAGAAGCCTTTTCTTTTCAGTGGATGGAAGACCCATAACTGGTCGACATGCAGAAAATAAGAGACGGTGAAGGGCTCAGCCTTAAAAGGAATGCTTATATTGCATCCCTCTCTACAAGGCTTGGGGGTAAAAAGGTAATAAGAGCGGGAGGCTGTGAATGACTACAATAAAACTGTTTTCTGGAGACAAGAGGGCAAATGCACAAGTGAACTCCCAGCAGTTGTGGCAGCACAAGACCTATGCAGGCTCAGGTCAGACAAAACTGCAGCATGAAGGGGAAGATGGGCTGGAAGCCCCACACTAGCGGAGGGTCTACTGGTTGGCAATAGACACTGGGAGATGGACAGTCAGTTTTCTTTGACGGTGTGACCCCCCCTAGTAGACTGAACATGCTCCAGGGGATGGCCACAAACCCAAGAGTATTTGTACAACACAAATTGGACTTGATGGGTTTAAGAAGACATGAAGTTGTGGGGAGTAGGGAGTTGGGGGGATCCGAGAGAAGATGAGGATGAATATGATCAAAACACATGGCAGGAAATTCACAAAGAATAACAATAATTTTAAATCATCAGAGATGAAAACAGTATGTCTACTCAAACCCCAGTGACAATCTTGCATATTTCTCAAGTAGGTGAGGGAAAGCCAGTACCTTTCCAGGGTGTTCACTGAGTGCTGAAGAGGGTTAGTGACCAGGTTTCTCTCACTAGGAAGCCCAGGCACATGCTCATGAAGTATACCTGCCTATCGTCTAACAAACTGAGGAAACTGCACAGAAAAGAAGGATCCTGCTTAGTTCTGGCTCGTTTATACTGAATGAGCTTCTAAAGAAACAATTTATTGTGTAAAGAATCAGTTTAGTAGGTTAGAACTTTTCCTGTTCACCCCTTGATCAAGACCCAAATTGATTTACTATGTATATACAAAAAATGCAATGTGGAAGTCATCATCAACAGGGCCATTAAAGAGAAACAAGGATAAAAGAACCAGTAACTTAATAGCTATTAAAATACAAGTCTCACTTGACAGACGTTTCAGGAAAGTAGGTAATATTAACAACTGTTTTGGTACCACAAACAGAACCAGCAGCCTGGTCATGACAAAGTTAAATTTCTCACAAAGAACACTCACTAAAAACCTAATAAGGAGCTGCTTCCCATATTGTGAATTGGGGTCCAAAGAAGATGCTTAAACCAAAAACATTGGTCTAGGTTGGAGAACATGCTAATTTTCTTCTGGTAATAATTTTAGAAATCATAGGTTTTCTTTCCCAGGCAATTATTTTAATGAATCAATTGGGGTTTCAAGAAACAATTAAATGAGCTCAATTTGGTTTCAAGTTCAGCAAAATGAGATCATTCATTCTGGATTTGGTTCAGTTGAGGTCAAGTCTCCTATCAAAACAGACAACAGAATTGGGATAATTTTGTTTTTATGTCTTTATTTCCTTTGTACTTTGTTCCACTTGCCTTTCCCAAATATCTGCAAATCCTTTTCTTGTGCATGTGTGTGTGTGAGTGTGTGTGTGTGCATGTGTGAGGTATATACATGCTTATATATACATGTGTGTATAATGTGGGTGCACGTTCATGAGGAGACCAGAAGTAGATGTGAAGTACTGTCCTCAGCCATGCTCCACTTCATTTGCTTAGACAGGGTCTCTCGCTGGGACCTGTGACTCCCTGATCCAGCTAGGCTGGCTGGCCAGCCAGTCCCAAGGCTTCTCCTGTCTTACTTCCCCAGTACTGGGATTTTTAATGTGGATGCTGGGGTCTTCAAACTTGTGTGGCGAGAAATTTACCAACTAGGCCATCTCTTGAGCCTTGGATCCATTTCTTTTTATCTTATTGAACTTTCTTTATATTGTACAATGACTCTTCTCTCCCTACCAAAATAGAACTTCTCAGATCTCTGGCTTCTAATAAGAACAATTAGAATAGTAATAGTTTTCCTTCATATACACAACTAGGATGCTGATTAACCAGGACTCTATAACTTTGATTGATGCTTTTTCGTTTTGCTCTTTGTTAACATTTATTTTGTGTGTGTATGTGTTTGGGTCTGTGTGACACAGTTGTGGAGATGAGAGGTCACCTTGTGAGCCTTGTTTTCCTATTTCTACCACTGAACGCAGGGTGTCACCTTGGCAGCAAGTGTCTTCATCTGCGGAGCCATCTTTCTGGCCCCATAGTTCTTTTCGTTGTTTTAGTTTGTTGGTTGGTTGGCTTTTAACAAGTCTCATTATGCTGTTCAAGACAGCCTCGATCCCATTGTGCTGTAGCCTATGCTGCTCTGAGGCTTGCAATCTTCCTTCCGTAGCTTTCCAAGTGCTGAGGTAAGGCATTCCCAAACACATGTAAGGCATGTGCCACTATACCTTGTTTTATGCTTTTACTTTAATTAAGCTGTGTTATCAGATATTCATGTCATGCTAATAACCAAACATGGGAAGAATGTGACAAACACTCTGAGAGTAATACAGTCTCTCTAGATACAAGTTATAAGCTAAATCCAAACACAAAGTCACCTGGGTAAAAATGTGGAACATCAGCAAATGTTTTCCAAGGAATAGTGCAAATGCAAAACTTGCGAGACAAATGATGAAGAGGAAATATTCATTTCTGCATAATTTTAGAAGTGTCATATAAATTGGTGTTAGGATCAGACTTGGGGCTGATGCTCAGTAGACAGAGTTTCTTCCCAGATAGGAGAAGCTCCTGAGTCTCTTACCTGTGATGGTGGCTTTGTTGATGGATGGTTGATTACACATGGGTGATCTTCTGACAAGGAGAAAAAACACAAAGAAGTGAGTGTGTGGTGCTTTTTGACTTGACTATTCTCAGTTATTTCAAATGTGACATTTTAATTTAAAGAGTTATTTAAAGTTAGGATATATACCAAAGATTTCTTTCAGACTAGCCAGTGGAGTTCTTAGATGCCCTTTCACTAAGGATCAGACAATGAATGTGATTAAAAATGAAAGAAAAGAAAGAGTAAAGATGAATCCCATGGGGATGAGCAGTGGGTTAGATTAAACAGATATAAACATCACAAGGATATGAAAGGAAAGGAAATTCTTATTAGTGGGTTGTATTCACTTAAGTTAGCGTTGGTAGAATAAACCCAGACTTTCTGCATGTGAAAAAGTAGTTTCTAATTGCTTTATCTAATACAATATTAAGAAAAGTTACTGCTGGCATAAAGTCTGATGATGTCCTATATATTCCCAGAAGTGAATGATCCCTTATAAAGCATCCTACAACTAGAGAAGGTATTTAAACATTTTCCTTTCTACTTTCTTCTGTTGAGAAGCATCTCTGACACATTTGTTAGAGAAGTATATTAATATCTTGTCTAAATAAGAGCTATAGATATTTTAGAAATACTTCATAAGCCCAAGGTACTTAAAGGGACTCCATTTGGTATTCTTCACTATCCCACAAGGTTTTACCAGATGACTGTAGACACCTTGAGGTAAAAGTCGTGCTATACCATTAACCTGTATCGCCTATGAAACCTAGCACAATGCATCTAGGATTTAGTCTGCACTAAATATATTAAGTGGAAAAGAAAAAATATTTACAGGAAATTTATCAAATGATTTGGAAATACAATGTTATAAAGCAATTTAGAGTAACAATCTTTGAAAATACTCTAAGAACAAATATACTGAAGGATTTCTGCAAAATATTTTATATGTGCGTGTGTGTGTGTGTATGTGTGTGTGTGTGTACTTCTAGTGGTTATCATTTAATAAGCATTTGCTGTGTGAAAGATACTGTGCTAAATGCAAACTTTATGTGAGTTCTCTCAGTTAATCCTTACAACAAGCCTTAAAGCAAGTGAACTAATCATTTGCGTTTTGTCAATGAAGAAAGGAAAAAGCCTGGAGAAGGTAAAGATTTTGTTGAAACTTTAAAAACTGGGATTTGGGTTTGGGGGACTGTGATTCTAGAGCTCCACTGTGTTTTCCTGCCTTACCTTTAGGATGTTCCCTGTGAAAGCTAGACAGACAGCCACACCTATGTGTAGATGGCAGATAAGTCAACCTTTTCCATTTGAAATGCCTGTTGAGAAGAAGAGCTTCCCAGCAGGGTGGAGGGACCCCTGGGGAAATCAGCCTGGATTTTGTCACTGGCCTCCAGGTGGTACCATTGCTCTCAGGTTTATTTTATCTCTAGTTCAGCTTTGGATTGAAATTTATTTTAGATTTTTATTATAAAACAAAAAGTGGGAATTTGAACTTGATAAGTGCTTCATTAAACAAAAGGTCAATGTTTCAAACTGCTGATCCATTCTTTTTATTTGTTGGTCCTGTTCTTGCTGAAAGCTGATGATGCATATGACAGGGCATGTTCAGGGCGGTGTTACTCTCCATGAGAATTTATTCAAATAACTTAAATACTGATCTTTAGTCCTTGCTCTGTGAAAATCTAGAAAGCATTCCTTTGGTGTGGAAAAGATATAAATGAATATTTTTATACTTTTTCCATAGTTTTAGGAAGCCTGATGGTAGACTCATGGCTACTTATCTCCCCTTAAGCTCACTATATGGCTCTTGCGTGAGAACCCAACATCCTGAAAAGTAACAATAAGCAGGGAAGATTGACCATTACATCCATGAGGACATCGATATATTATTCAGTGACGAATGAACCACACCTAAGTTCAGGAATTAGAAAATTTTTTCAATGGCAAGAGAGTGAGGTGACAAAATAACAGTGGGTTTTTGAAAGGTCTATGATGAGCTCAGGATACCCACGGAGGGCTCCAGCTTAGGTACATTCTCCTTCAAGTCCTTTTCAAGAGCCAATAAAAAGATGGGCTGTGCAAGGCAGTTCACACCTTCCTCAAACTGTGATAGTGAACATGGAAGTATTCTAGTGGCACTATGTGTGTCCATCAGGAAAATGCTCATTCCTCTAGGATCACCAGAGCGTGTCCTTTGCTCTTACAGAACCAGCTGTCAGGAGGTTAAATCCCAGATTATGACACCCAAGAAGTTTATTTCGCTTGAATCAGCAGATGAGGTACAAATCTACATTTTCCAAAAGGGAGGCTACACCATCTCTATGTAGAGTCTGCTAGATAATAGTGTTTGGTTAGGTATCACCCTGGGCATTTTATAGCTGCCAAGGCAGGTGGAAGTCCTCAGGGTTAGCTATGATTTTCTGTCTTCTTTCTTTCCATTCAAATATGTTCTGTCCCTGTAAATCAGTTGAAAACATCTATCGTATAGAATGGGCCTCAGAGCATCTCTTTGGAGACACAAAGGTCAGTATGACATTTTTACTCCTGTCTGATCAACTGCCTGCTATGAGTTTAAATGCTGGAACATAGGTGATGATTCCTGAAGAAAACTTAAAGGAAATTAGTTTCTTAATTGTCTTTTAAAGACCTGGATTTTTTAAATGAAATAAACTACTCACAAGCTTGAATAACAACCGATAGCTTCATATTTTTCCTGAAGAACTCAAATTTTTTTCAAAGCTACTGAATGCCCAAAGTCCCAAGAGGCTGCTGAGGGGAGTGTGACATGGCACAGCTGCATTTACTTGTCATACTGCTTCGTCTCAAACATCAGAACCATCACTACACCAGGAACAAAGAAGGCATTCAATAAAAAGTTCTTGAAGAAACGAATATATAGATACAATACATGCACATATTTGACAGATCAGAAAACAGACAGCACCCCTGTGAGAGCGCCTTCTTTATTCTAATTCCAATTAGAACTAGAAGGTGACTAAAGAATGATCTTGGGCTAAGGAGACAAAAGTTACAAGGTGTCTACTGATCCTCAAGGATAGAACCTATAGTAATATTAGAGGTGCCAAGACAATCTGGGTGCCTGTCAGAGTGCTAAGTTTATCTAAAGCACAGAATTCAAATGTCATACATGCACATATTTGACAGATCAGAAAACAGACAGCACCCCTGTGAGAGCCCCTTCTTTATTCTAATTCCAATTAGAACTAGGAGGTGACTAAAGAATGGCACATATGTGGTCAAGTTATAAAATCTCTCTGTACTTCAGTTTCCCCATGTATGAAATAGGGACGGTTTCACAGGATTATCGTGAGTGTTAAACAAAACCGCAGGTTAGATACCAAGTACAGTGCCTAAGCAGAGTCTACTGATCCTCAAGGATAGAACCTATAGTAATATTAGAGGTGCCAAGACGATCTGGGTGCCTGTCAGATGCTAAGTTTATCTAAAGCACAGAATTCAAATGTTCTGGTATCCATCACACAATAAATGCACATATGTGGTCAAGTTATAAAATCTCTCTGTACTTCAGTTTCCCCATGTAGGAAATAGGGACGGTTTCACAGGATTATCGTGAGGGTTAAACAAAACCGCAGGTTAGATACCAAGTACAGTGCCTAAGCAGGAGTGCAGTGATTGTGAACCCACTGTGGAAACTTCCATGTAATTAGCTGGCACAGGTGGAATTTACTTAATGCTTATCAATGTTAATATATGGGGCCCTAAAATATCTAATTTACCTAAGGGTTCTAGAACTATGCCCAGAGTCTTTCCATCTGACACTAATATAGACTAAAACCAT